ACGTACATACATATCTATATATGTAATACATATGTGCCCGTGTAAATGTCATATACGACGAGCTAGGCTCTGGCCATCGCGTTTACGCAGCTTCCACAACGCTTCGAGGCTGTCGGCGCGAGACAAATTATTTTCCTCAACAGCATGCGTCGATGCTTTTCACCGCGCGCATAACAAGTTGTTCGAGCGACTCCCCTGCCCAGAGAGAATGCACAATATCGCACCACCACCGCCAACCTACCCTCTTCTCACCTCTGCCCACCTCTTTACGGTCGTTTCCTAGCTTGTCGATATTTTTCCCAGCTTTACGATGGAACACTATTGAATATTTTTGCCCTGCGAATTTTCCTATCACCAGTGACCTCGATGTGGAAGTTGTCGCCGTTTGCCGCCTTCCTGCCGCGCTGCTGCGAGGAAAAAGAAGGAAGGCTGGCGTGACGCGGGGAATGGAAGAAGTTGTTTAAACGTTATTTTTTGTTCGGTGAGTTTGTTGAAAGGGAACGGTGCGCGATGGTTTCGTTGGGAATTAATTACGAGGCGGGAACAGGTTGGAAATTAAGGGACGGAAATGTAACGTGTCTGTGAATTCGAATTTGTTTTCGTTGTTGCGTTTTGGAAGTTTGGCTTGTGAATGTTGGAATTGGGAGAATTAGAAAGTGGGTGTGCTTGGAAAGGGTTGTTTTTGTTGGTTACTGTAACAGTATTGCAAGGAGAGAAAGAATCTCGTGTTTTTCGTTTTACAAATTCATCGTAGTTGCGAATTAAATGAACAATTAGTTAGGTTGGTTCTTTAACTACAATTAGGAAACATTCTTGCATCTTCGGTATATAAGAATTGTATGTTCGGTATAAAATTGTAACGATCGTTAATATTTCTTAAACAAACGGGAAATTAAGGATATTTGAACCTCAGTTTCGAGGTGTCTTCAATAAGAAAAGAGAAATACATACGAGTTTCACGGTTTCTCTCGATATTACTTACAATAATGTAGAAAGTTCTACCCAACCATAAAACCTGCATAACTTTTATGCCTTGTGAACTGTGGCCGGGTGCTGGTTTCCTTGGAACAGCTACACTTGGTCCTATCCGACTTTCTTTCAAATGAAACTTTTAATAATTGCGAACCCGCCGTTTTCCTTCTTTTCGATAAACTCGCGAAATATAATTCTAACGAAAGTGTCTCACATTGGTATCAACGTAAAATAGTTCCTTTCGTTATTTCTGGGTCAACCCTTTCGCTACCCTTTCGATTTTCATGCGTAACGCGAATTTTTAACCACGTCTGCAAAATTTCTTGTTTTGGCAGTATCGCTTTAAAATTCGATTTACTAAATTAAAATTGGAAGTGTTTAAACGATAAAATTAAGTATTAGGTCATCCCACAAGTTCCTAGCGAAAGCGAAAAATATTTTTATGAAAATCCAAGGAAAAGGTTTTGGAATTAAAAGGCACTTTCGTCTTTCTATCAAATTTAAAGGCTCGTTGGAGATATTGATGTAAATTATAAATTTCGATACGAACTTATGGGATGAGCTAATATTAAATTAAGGTGGAAGTGCGCCCAAATAGTGCCAGCAAATTTTCTAAACGTCTCTAGGCGCCAATAGTGATGAAAGGGTTGAGGAATTCATTCTGGAACTTCGATAATACAGTGGACAAAATTATATACCTACTCTGCGCCGTGGCTGTTAAAATGAACGCTCAGGATCGAGAAATTCTTACTGACCACGAGCTTGCGTTGGACGCGAGCTTTTCAAATGCGTACACTTCCACCCTCTGTCCTCGAGGTGGGTAACATTGGCACAATCCCGAAGGTCTCCAAGTCATTTTCCCTCAGGGACACGTATTTGACAAAGTCTAGGCGCAACGAGTTCCCGACGACGTTGGCGCCGATGAAAGTGCCAGAGACAAAGGCCATCCGCGACAGTTTGATAGCCAGAAACCCTCGAAGGCCAAGCCTTCGAGGATCTGTGCGTTTCTGAGTGCCGCGTCCTGGTTTATGCTCGTCTCACCGTACTGGACCTGAACGGCCCTTGATTGCACCTACTCTGTGAAAATACCTGGTTGACGATTAACAGAATACAAATGTTTTAATTTAAAACTGCCATCACTTTTGCCATTTCTTTCATCGAACAAATTTTTGTCTGTTAAATTTGTACTACACAAATAAATATATTTCAATTTTTAAATTTAAAACTTTGTATTTTTATTCGTGTAATGCAAATTTAACGGAAAGAAATCTGTTTGGTGGAAGAAATGGCAAAACATGGAAGGAGGTTTTACATCTTAAGCAATTTTAGGAAATTGCAACAGTTTAACGTTAGGAAACATTTTAGGAAATTTTTACATTTGATTAAAAATTTTAGATCCCAAGGTCACTGTAAATCTGCAAGATTTCACTTGATGGACAACACATAACCTGCTGTATAACACGAGGAATGTTGTTTAACGTGTTATATTACGTAGTATAGACGCAGTTTAACGAACGTAACGGTATACTGTGATAAAACATTCGTCTATGAACGCATCGCACATATTGTCATGTGCCTTTTTAATGCAGGGACACGTATCACCATAATTCCAACATTCAAACGTGCTTTAATAACAGTCATACATAATTCACATCGCTTTAAAAATTCTGATAGCAATATTTCGCACTGTGACACGTATACAGAGCTGTTTGCATCTCGAATTTTATAGGGTTGCAAGGAAATCGTGAAGAAATGAGCGTTTAAAGTACGATCAACTTCGTTTAAGTTTTTCTTGGTGTCATACACTTGTTTCGTCAAAAACTGCGTTGCATATTCCACGATGCACTTAATAATTTTCTAACAACTTCTGTTAGACACAGTAGGAGTACTGGCAAACGGATTTTGCTCCAATTTGCCTTCGTAGAGCAAGTGTTTCATTCTGTCGAGGTGGCATTTCGAATGTTAGGTGACGATTTGTCACAGGTAAGACAGACATCTAGCTAAATTGTGAAGCAAATATCTTCTGCGACTTCATCCACTCCTATCTCTCATACCGAACGAAGATCCTTAAAATAAATAGAAAAGGACTGAAAATGGAAACCAGGAAGCGTCTTGAAGCCGGAGACAAGAAATGGCGCGAAAAGAATGGAAGAAAAGGAAGAGAGGAGAGGATGTACAAGAGGGAAATCACGTGACAAGGAACGGTAATTTAGCCAAGTGTGTCAGCAGGTTACAATATTACCGTCGTTACATAAACTCAGACACGCCTATCGTTTGCATTGATGACGTGAATATAATATATCGCTAGAAGCTCAAAAGCTCAGCTTTTCTTCGCAGTCACAATGGCCACTGACCACCTGTTGCCTTTCCATTTATATTTTAGTCGTGACGAGAACGTCACTATCTTACGTTTTCTCGTAAACATCTTCAATGGAAATGTCTTTTCACAATTCAGGAATATTCAACCGTAATTTTTTTCCTTCTTTGTTAACCATTCGTAACGTGTTCGAAAATTTACCACAAAGGAAATAAATTGCACAAAACAGGTTCGTACGCTTGTCAAAGCTAGGGCCGTTTTTTTTTTTTTTTTTTTTTGGTCATTTACGTCTGTATATCAATAGTGAAGTAAATTTCAGTTGAAATTTAATTTTAATCAATTAATCAATTTGATTTTAGGTGCTTCGAAAATTAATATTTTATTATGTGATCCTTTCTTTGTGCAATCAAATAATTTTCATTCTTTTTAGTGTAAATTGTTACGTTTGAAAAATTTCGTATATTTTACTAAATCTGAAAAATGAGAAATTCGTCGAAAGTAGACAATTTTTGGAAAAACGTCGATATTTTCAAACGTATTTAGGAATATCCACAATTTATTTTCTGTGGTATTGACAGAAAACTCCGAACGTCTCTTGATCCCGTGATTTCGATTGAAATCAGGGATCAGATTTGTTCTGTCCCACGAGAAGGAAGAAATTACAGAAAAATCGACGTGTACACCGAATGAAGACAAGTCGGTCGGTATTTGGAACGGTTAATTTCCGAGTAACGAGGAAAGAAGGTCCGTAAGCTTCTTTAATAATTACATCCGTTGTCGAAGCAGCACTATTATCAAATTTTCTACGTGTTATAAATTCATAAAGGATGGGAAACGCGTACGCGGCCACGGAGAAAATGCGAGATTCTAGAAAATTATGCAGCTTTGCGTCGGCGACGGTAATCCCCTTGCTTATAGCCCCGCTCCGTCTTATGGAAATTACGAACGGGCACGTCTGACAGCAGTATCTGATCCTGCATTTCAGACTCGCTTGTCATAGCATAGCAATTTACATTGTGAGCAACTTAATCCTGACACAATAAATCGCGTAATCGTCTCTCTCCGTCGGTCTTACATAATTTATTGGTCATACTTTGTGTGCCACCTTGATTAAATGATTTTTTTCACCGGTTCTTCTCGCCGATTTTCAAGTATTTCGGACCAAATGTTACTGTGATTTCGTGCAGTTAATACACGACACACGAAATTTATTCGTTGTATAAATTCTTTCAAAATATTTCACACATTTGTCGTTGTACAAATTTCAAGTAGAAAAAGTGTTTCACCGACACAACAATTATTAAAGATACTTTTATTTTCAGCGAAAATATGCATGAGTACATGTGTATACTTACACGAATGCAAAAAGGAACGTTTGCACTTCCTATTTTGTGTATAATATACTCGTGACGAAGTAGGAATGAAAGAAATTATTTTTGTTATTAATCGTGTGAAATTTCTCTGAAATTTACCAGCGATGTAAAATCATCGTAGCTAAACGTATCACGCGTATAATGTGTAACACTGTTAAAAAGAAATTTATTAATTATTTTTCATAGAAAGTCAAAAAAAATTTGCGCTCACATGCATTCTTCTGCGATGAATAATTATCGATGGACATTTTACTTTTATTTATTTAACTCACAAACGAAGTAACTCTCGTCAGACATCGATTACGACAATTAACGAAAGCTTTAATGATTTGTTTCAGGGTGCGTCATCCAGCGTAGTGGTAAAGTTCGCAGATACTGAGAAAGAGAGACAAATAAGACGCATGCAGCAAATGACCGGCAACATGAACCTCCTTAGCCCTTTTGTCTTCAATCAGTTCGGCGCTTACGGCGCTTATGCTCAGGTGGTTCGCATTACCATTAATGGCTCTCATATTATCAAATTACCGTCTGGTTGTCCCATTATTAGGAATCACAACCTGCAATAGTGCCTATCTCGTTAGAAACAGTCGCTAATACTCGATTACGTCTGGTTACATTACCACTTTGTGCGACGATCATTTCAGTTTTCTCTGGAGTACTTGAAAATATCTTTAACTACGTTAAAATTCATTTGTTTTTTTGCAAATCTTGTAAAATCTTCGCCATTAGATTGGTGCAAATGGGATATTTTTTTAACTTTTACAATTAAATTTTGTTCGATGATAAATTTTTCTACAGAATAGTCGAGACGAAGGAATTTCTTCCGTTCGACTACACGTTTCTTTGGCTCAAAAAAGACCAAAAGAAAAAATATAGCTCCACTGAAATTGACTATTTTTGTATAAACTAATTTTTATAATATTCGATACACTTTTGCTAACAAGTCATATTAATTCCGCGAACATAAAAATCCAAATCTGCAATAGAGACTCATTTTTTCGACCAAACGATGATAGCAAACGTGTTAACTCCACTTGTGTTCTTCCGCTCGGGTCAAAAAAGACCCAAAATATAGAAAAGAATTGTTTGGACATTATCATCTGACGTGACGAATAATCGATTAAGTCTAACACTTGAAAAAATGGCGGTAAAATGGAAATTTCATATGCACCAACCTAATATACGATTAGCATAATATATTTACACTTTCCCATTTCAAATCGAATAACCGAAAGAAAAGGGACATTTACGAAGACGTTTTCGGCATACATAAACGTTCTACTTACAGCAGCAAGCAGCTTTAGTGGCTGCTGCGACAGCACAAGGGACGTACATCAATCCAATGGCAGCGTTGGCGCACGTTAGTGCTGTTGGCGCTGGACAATTGCCGCATGGATTAAACGGCATGCCAAACCCCGTCGTTCCTCCGACTTCCGGTATATTTTTCTTTCTTTGACACTCTGCCAACGTTTATGTTTCAAAATATTGCCTGCACTAAGCACTGCCTGCGCATGTACTATAATTCGTAACAGCACAAAACACTTGAACGCTAGTCTTGCAAATCTAGAATGTACGAGCGAAACGCTCGTTTCAAATTTCTGACGAACTTATTTTCAGAAAATGGACACACGAAGCGAAGTGTCGAGACGTGTATTAGGTGTAGAAACGAATTTTAGTACAATCGAAATTTTATTTAAAAAGAACGAACACAGATCACTCGTCGAAGTAATTTCCATTATTGCTAATGAGCTTTTGCCATTTTTCTGGAAACTCGGTGACTTTGAATCAATTACGCGAATCCAGTTGGAAAGAATTCATTTCTACATCTGATATATACATACACACTTTGCCGTGAAATTACTGTAGGTTTCGCTAATGCGTAACACTTTCCCCTTTATCTTTCCCCTTATCATCCCGCCTTTCCCTTTATTCCTCGCGGATCTCGTTGCAGCTAGGAGAGCACAGCTCGTGTTGCCTTCTAACCGGCTCATAAATCAATACAACATTTTCACCAAGCGTGATTTCGGCGAAAGATATTGCCAGTACCGCGAAACTTTATCGAAAGCTCGCCGAACGAGAAGGAGGGAAAAGCCAAAGTAGTGCCGTACCCTTCTCCTTTTTCCCTACTTCATCGTTCCTCGCTGCCTTCTCTTTCCCGGTTTATTTCATTCGCCAACGCGCACACAAGAAAAGAGGGCAAAGTAGTATAGACAAGTAAAGTAAGCACGGAAATCGATTCACCGTAAGCGCTCCGATACGTCGAGGCTCGTTCGGCGATGGGTAATACCATTTGATAGGGAAATAATATTTTATTTGTCCTCCACCCCACTTCCGGTCTTTTCCTCCGCCTACCTGACCCACAGATTACCAAGCATGTGCGCTTCGATTCGTGAAGAAACAACGTCGTTGCATCTGTGTCTGTCGATTTCGCGTCTGTACTGGAGAACGAGTGGCCCGTGTCATCGATAGTTCATTTATCCGAGAGGATTTCGATGAATTTACGTGAAATTGTTTGTCGTTCGTTCGTCAATGATCGGTTTAGTTATTTTCTTTTTGTTAAATTGTGTAATTGCTTGACAGTCTTAAGAAATATCGAAAATTTGTGTTTTTACTGTGCTAGCGGCAATGAAATTGTCATTTGCTTCAGAAATTTGTCTTTAATAATTAAAATTCACAATATATCGTTATATTTGCATGCCAGTAAGACGCCAAGAATTACGTCCAAGGAGTTACTATTCAAATTTCAGTCTTTTCCTACCCTTTTCTTTTAATCCACGATCTTTATAGAAGAATGTAACGTTTCGAAGTTTCCATCATGATTCAGATATTTACGATTGGGCACGCTGGAAATAATCGTGAAAATTTGATCGAGCATGAAAATACAAAGCTGGTCTACTCTAATAAATGTTTACTTTTTACATATATTCTTCGTACGTCCGAAATAATTTATTTCGAATAGGAAAATAGTGTGCATGAAATTGGAACGTTTTTGATCGCATGACTACTTTAAGGAAAAACTGTTTTCAGTTTATGTAATATAGAACAAAATATATAGAATACTTTAACAACATTTTCGAAATTCTTCTGCAGATGTTCATTTTAAAAAGCCATTTGCAAAGTATCATCTACTCGTTTTACTTACATTATTTTACTTAAACTTGAAATAATTAGTGCTGTTACAAACGTTGTTAATACTCATTAGGATAAACTGAACAGGCACACTTATACCTTCCATTTTGGTCCACGAAGTATCAATAACAAAATTACAAGAATAAATCGAATCATCAACCTTCGTAGTTAAAAGTCCAAAACTTCCCTTAGAATTTTCAAGTATACCTGAAACTTTGACTTACGATACCGTCGTCTCTACCAAAAACACACTGTCACGCACACACGAAGCTTCCTTCACTTTCTACATTCACGAACGCGCTAATTAAAGCACGTAGACGTTAGGCTAGATCTTTGGTTACGGATCACCGATCTAATCATCCTACGAAAACAGTCAATCGATTCACCTATGTAGAGACCGGATCGATCATTAACTCGCCGAGTGACAGAGTCTGTTATGAATCGTTGTTAATCCTAAGATCGAATCAACATCCGGACGGTCCTCAGATCATACAAACCCTGAAATGTAACGCGTGGCATACGGATCGTCTGCAAACCGTCTCTGACGTCCTTCCAATTATACCGTATATATACCGTAAATATATACCGTAAATCGGTTGACAGGATGTACAGAGGGCAACTAGCTAACTGTGAGCATTCTAGGATCCGTTGCCGCGCGTTCATAGGGTGACTAAGGTCGGTGTTGTAAGAGCAAGAGGGTAACCGGTGTGTACTGATCAGGTTTGCTCGTAGGTACCGGTACAGGGCAGCCAGTTAACGGCGCAATACCGTCGTTACCGTCGCCAACGATGCCCAATTTCAACATGGCTGCACAAACACCGAACGGTCAACCAGCAGGTACGGATCCTGGTGTCTACACCAACGGGATACCACAGACCTATGGGGGACGTGAGTATCAACTCAGGCGCAGTGTGCCGCCCCTGCGCAATGCTCGGCCAATCGACGCCGGACTTTATTATTCTGCGTTTCCGACGAGAAGCAAATAACCTCACCCTCCCCCCTCCGAACCTGTATCGCGATATCGCGATTCTTTGCTGTTCGAATCAGGAAAAATCCGTTCAATTGTTTCGCTATTACAAATATCCGAGTAAGAGAGCCGAAAAAAATATATGTAGATATCAAGGGGTAATTAGTAATCGTTATTGTTTACGGATTTTTCACGGGTGAATACAATTAGAGATTGATTATAATTTGGAAATAAGGGCTGGATGTTGAAAATTTTCCCTTTCATGGCTGCTTAACCCTTTCACTGCTGTCGGTGATTACAGGTAAGCGAAGAAAGTTTACCGTAGGGTAGTAAATATGAACGCCTGTAAGCGTTCAGCTGTAATCGATCGCTGGGTAGTATCGGAGCCTTTGTGTTTATGTTTTGTACTTTGCTTCTGTGTTATTTATTTTGCAATGTGCAAAATATCGAACGCAACAATGATTTGGCTAACGTCGTGCACGGAGTAAACTCAAGTAGTAAACACGTTGGCGAGTAGATGTTAGTGGTATCACTCCGCTGTACGCGGCGAGCGCTTTACTTTCGAATGGCCAGTGGTCAAAGGGTTGAAAAGTATTGCAGATGCTAAAAATAACGTTGAAAACATCATTGTAAATAGACGAGGTAAAGCGGAAACGTGAATATATCAGGAAGTTAATAATATTTACCTAAAGACTCGACAAATGTTGTTGCAAATTTGAAAATGTTTGAAAGTAATGGGTTCTTATATTTGATATTAAAAAATGTTAATAATTATACGAGATATCACTGTCAATCGCAGGCGAAATTCACTTTTTAAGCTTGTTCCGGTGAAGATTTTACGGGCTAAACGAGGTAGCCTGCCTTCTTAACTCGTAATATTACAATAAAATACCCATAAAGGATTGAAATATTAAGATCAATTTATAAAATCCTGTATTCCCCTTTGCCATGGAAGCATCGAAACGAACCGAATCCTAGATCTCAGAATCTCCACATGAAAGATACTGATTTATTTCGCGTGTATCTGTAAAATCAGATTAAACTGACAAGAAGAACATACGCGATAGCGGACAATATCGATTGGTCGGTACGTATTGCGACAGGGGCCCTAGACGTAGGTCCGTTTCCGATAAGAGCTGAGCTTATTGAAGTGTAGATGCCCTCCATTTGACCATTCCAGCAGCAGGGGCGCTGCCCAATGGGGAGGCGGCACTCCAGCATGCCGCGTATTCTGGAATACAACCCTACCCCAGTGTCGGTAAGTTTTTTCTTCTCCATTTACTTTTTCCCTTCTTCTTATCGAGGATTCCATCAAACTCTCGTATCTACAACGAGTTCTCACGAAGAAAACTTTTCCACGAGCGCATTTCGTAGTATGCTTCTCGATATTCGCGCGAAACTCAAAACCCGACCTGCAGAAACAAAACAACCGTCCGAATCCAGATTCTGCAATGAGTTTCCCGTACGAGAATTAAGATGATATCGAACTGGAGATACTTGTTGTTCCGAAAATTGTTATCACGTATGTACACATCTGTTGATCTCTCGATTATCGTCCAGTTCTTCGTGAAATACTTCTTGCACTTTACGTGCCGAAAAAATTGTAAACACTATGGGTAATTTGAATATTCGTTGTTTCGGTGTATTCTTTCAGCTTTCCTTACCGAGGGTGTACTTACGTTAGGTGAACCGGCATTTTGCGTGGAACGAATTGTCGATGAACGATAAAATTTCTGGTTTTTTTTTTATCTTGCCGTTTTTCAAGAACGATTTTAGGGGAAATTGATCTTGAAAGCGTGGGTGCAAGTGAACTTGAACATTCGGTATTAATATGCTTTTATCCGAGCACTGGAGCACTTAAAAAAATCGATTCTACCGATCGTGTGTCTATGTAGTTGTTGCATGCAACTATGGTCGCATGTCCACATTTATTTACATACGTATACATATAAATGTATGTAAGTATATAAATAAAGAAAGAAATACAAATAGACAGGGTCCCCTGTTTAAATCGATCCTTGTGAATATCTTCGAATTTGTTGATCATAGATGTTTCAGATACAAATTGAACAGTTTCAAGGGAGATACAATTTGATTAGAGTAGTCTTTCTTGTAGGTGAATGCGTAGGGGACATATGAGCCTGAAATTAATGTTTCTAAATGGAACCATGTTTAAAATAAATTAAAATATCTCCCAGCTAATGGTTTTTTGACATAACAAATTGCATCAATTGACACACTAACAAATATACGATTCCATTTTTAGAATCGAATTTTACCCACATAAAGAAGACTACTCTCGTCAAATTACATCCCCCTTGAAACCATTCGTTCAGCGTTTATCTGAAACATCTGTCAGTATCGTCAACAATTTCCAAGATATTCCCAGGGATCGATATAAATCGGTCACCAGGTACACACTGTACAAGACCACAGGTGTTTACATAAGTATACTGTATATAGTGTACACTCGAACACGGACGCCTGCACGCATCCACGCACACAAACGTGCCGCGTCAACGTATCCTTATATCTTCGATGTTCCTTTAAATATACATCGTGTATATTCTACATTTTTGGTGCAGGAGGAAAGAGATAGAGAGGATAGGCGGAAAAGAAGAGGTTGTGCGTTTCGTCTTGGGACTCCTAATAGACTCTTCAGTAAGGCTTTCTAAGGAGATCCGTGTTTTAGATCCGGAGGGACTATTAGACTCTTTTTTCCCCTAGTTTATAATTTAGTATGTAGAGTCCACCTAGAGACAGGTGACCAGTTCATGAGCTGAGAGAGATGGAGGAAATTGTTGACGGACTACTTTGAGTTTTTTACCTTCCTGAGGATCTAGAAGTGGCTAGAGAAAAGTTTCGAAAAAGGAGGACTATTAGACTCAGGTCAGAAGTTGTATATATACAAACGGGAGCCTGTAGCGAGGACTAGCGAGAAATTGTGATTAGTCCGTCCCTCTGGCGGTGAAGTCCCACGTATTGTAACTCCTTAACGTATCGTGTATAGTCAGTGGAAGAAATACAGATCGGTCAGACAAATCGACAGAAACCTGAGAAAATAAGAAAATCTCAGCAAGAACTGCACGAAGCATGCCTCAGCTTTGATTCAGTCTCAATTGAAAACGTGAAAAGCTATCAATAGGTGGCGCTATTTGATGCGTCAATTTACAAGCTCGCTACACTATTTCTTCCACCGACTATACCGTGCATGTTCATCAGTACCCGAACAACACGTCGACGCGTATTCAGCTATAAACTGTCGAAGGTTCGAACGATGTTACATCAAAGCAATGGCGCATCCGCAGAAATTATAATGCAATAACCAACATCGAAATGGATGATCCCGTTTCAAAGATAATCAACATGCCAACGTGACTATACTTTGATTCGTTTCGCTCGCCGTTAGCAATTAACGCTCGTGTTTGATGAATTCTCCGTCCGAAATGGTTAAATTAATAATAGAGCATTCGAATTGCATTTGACAATAGCAAGTTTCACGGTCGTGTCCTCGTTATTGGTCGCAACAAATTGGCGGATCGTGAAAACTTACCTGGGTATAATAATTGCTTTTTCTACAAATAACGTTTCCTGTCGCATTTTATTCCCTTGTTCGTCCATTACGGTAAAAAATCTTTCTCCTATCTGTGTATACTGTATATATATACACGTACGTGCATATGCAGGGTATATATCTCTGCTTCTAAACGTGCGTGTACGAGGAATTGGCAGAAATTCATCGAATTTGAGGTAGAACGTAGATACATCAGGGTCGAGCAGGTTTCCTGTGTTTGTAAAAAAAAATCTTCAAAATAGGATATTCTTTTTCTGTGTATTTTTGTCCAGTGTACACACGCCGTGGAGATCAGCGAGTGAAAAAAAGCAATCCGAAATACCGTGTGTCTCTCTACACGAGCGAATGGTAACCGACGTATGATGGTGTATTTATTTCATACGCCAAACGTCGGACCATCGTTGGACCGAAACCTCTGGTCACGTCAATCGGAATATATTAAAGCGATGTTTGCACGGAAATAATTAATTTCCAAGCGAAAATTTACCTCTTCTGATCTGAGAGAGTGAACGGGCCGAACCCCTTCATTTCCCCCTAACCGTTTCTCTGTACGTTTATTCGTCACAAACAAATATTAATCGCGCGCATTTTAAATATTTGCCAGGGTATAATTAATGCCGATATAATTGCTTTTCTCTAATATCGTGCAATAAAGCGTTCGTTTATTCGTTGTACGCTGTATACGGTATAATACACCGGTTCCAAAATGTTTCCAACAATTTACAAGTATCGAATATTCTACGATCTTGAAAATAATCCTGTTCCCTTTCGCCTTTCCGCCGTTCTCTTCGTTGGTACACTGTTTTTTTTCAATTAGAATTCAAGTTACTTCGTAGATACTTTCAGGATGATCTAATACTTGGTGGAAGAGCTGTAGCGAGGTCGCAAATCGCGACGCTAAGAGGGCAAACCACCCTGAGGCCTCTAAAGATAGGCAAACGTTGAGAATTTTTTTCATAGGTAATTACTAAATGAAGAATCTCAATTTTTTCTGAGGATGTAAATACAACTTTCAGCTTTCTTCTGCAATTTTTTAAAAGGAAAAATGTCTCGTGGAAATCCGCCATATCTCAAGTCACAGGGGCCGTGCGAAAGGCACGAATCCTCGGAGATCCGACGCTTCTAGCGCCAAGCGGCGGCCATGATTGAATCCGTATAGATCCGCAACTACCTTTTCCTCTGTTTCTATCATTTTTTTAAATATGGTGGCAAATTTATTCTTAGACTCCTTATCTCACTCAAAATTGATATTTCGACCAGCAGATTTCATATTCTTCTCCGCCTGCGTAATTTTGACGACGTCGCCATATCTCTTTCTGTTTCTCTCATTTTCTTAAATATACTATAACAGAAGAACCGGTGGCAAATTTACTTCGTACGACCCTGAACTAGGCACAAACTCCTTATCTCACCCAAAATTGATATTTCGACCAGCAGATTTCATATTCTTTCACGACCTCGCTATATCTCTTCCGCCAACTATACCTTACGATTTCGATGTTAAAGCAGCTTTTCATTCCGTGTACTTGTAGTTTTGGCAACCGCTACATACGTATCCTGTTCGTAAGGACGAGGAACAGAGCATATTGCGCGACTTTGAAGAGATATCGCGTATCAGTTAATGTCGGCAAGATCCGATAGAAGCGCTATAAAATGCAAAAGTATCGTGTTAAAAGTCGCGAAACGATGAGAACGTTGAGCGAGGAATACCCTTGTTAAGAGAAACGACGCGACGAATGTAGCTGGAATTTTTAGCAGAGAAGAGATTTAGCGACTCGGTTTTCGCTTGTTTTCCAACCTCGCTTCGCGTCCTCGGGCTCTTCTCGTTAAATTCGATGATTATAAACAGATTTGTTTCATTTAGAATAATCGTAGAAACGCTGTTTCGTTCACTTTATTCGCAGTTTCTACCAAAGGAACCGCGCGACGCTTCGGTTCTCCTCCTCTACGCTCGTTACGAGCAATTATAAATTGTCTTGTCGTTGTTATTTCTTAGCCCACTGCCAACGACAACGCGATAAAATTGAACGACGTTGGCCGTGCAAATTTCTCTGGAATTATAACATAACGTCGAGTTGGAGAATATCGAAGGCGTGTCTCTTCTTTTGTCCCCGATTATATTTAAGATTTTTATATCACAACCCAGACAGAATTTTAAAAAAGTTATTTTCCATGTTGTTAAGTTTAAGAGTTACCTAACTTCGACTTTCCAACGTTTCCAAATAAATGATACTTCGCTGAAAGAGGCAATCTGCTAACGAACTAACTTCCGACATTCCCAAGTATCGTTTACAAATATCTTCCAATTAATGTAGAACGTTTAATTCGTAGATTGTTAATCTGGAATATTAACCAAGTTGTGAGAAGTGATTTGTTTGCTTGAAATTTTTAGCAATTGTTGTAAAAAGTGTCAAGATTTCTTTCAGAATATTCGATATAGCCCTAAATGGTGATATGGTTCGATTTGCACAAAAACATTGGCGTACCACGAGAAGCTGAACTTTACGGAAGCGAATATAGGAACAAAGAGAGAGAGAAAAAAAGAAAGAGCAGCATGCACTTCGTGTATAGATGTGGACACATCATGATGTATTTGATATTTGTTACTGTCGCAGCTTATCCCGCCGTCTATGGCCAGTATCCTCAAGCTATTCCTCAGCCGATGACCGCTGTGGCACCTACACAAAGGGAAGGTAAGTACAAAACACTCATCAACGTCTAACTGTTGACTGTAAACACGAACGATTGTAGTCCTCAGATTGTAGATCCAAGTCCCAAACGTTCAGACACGAGTTTATCCCTCGTCATTCAGTCGTAAGGTATTATCAATTAAATTACGAGAAATCTTGTTTACATGTACTGGAATGTGTGGAAAACTCGTTTTACATTGTGATTATATTGTTGAAGAAATTTTTAGAATAATTTCGAGGAAAAAAAAAAAAGATATGATCTACCGATAAATTGATCAATCAGAGAATAAATAAATGCAATTTTGTGCAATTCACGTCAACATGGTTGACGAATCTTTGTCTAATTCTGGATCACATAAAATTTCGGTGTTCTTTTTTTAATTTGAGGATAACAGCAAAGGTTTTCGATGAATTTTTTAAAACAGCTATATTTTGCCTTTCCAATATCGCAAATGCAAGTCCGAAATTTCACCGGTATGAAAGTTGCACAAGACAGATCTTCTCTCTAGTGTCATTTTGTTCGTTAATTAACGTTGAAATAGCGACAAATGAAACTTTCGACATTTCTCATCCGGCAATCCATACGGCATCTTTCACTTCCAATCATCTGTTCGTTCTCCTATCGAGGTGTACGATTAATTCGAGTCGATTAATTGAATGGGTAAGATTAATCGAAATTTTGGTGTCGTTGGAATGAAAACACCGGGTGAAAAGCGAATCATTCGTCGGGTGTTATCTTTTCGTATTACAAAAGACACGAGAACTAGGGTAGAAAATGGCGGATAAACGGCAAGAAAGAAGAAAAAAGGGTAGGGTGAGCCGAGCCAGCACCTAATTGCAATTAACAACTCGTCATTATTAGAATATACGACGCCTAACAATGAGATAATGCAAATAAAATGAAAGTTTTAATTACTTTGCCGCTATGCCTGCCGGCGATCCGTTGTTACATCGTAGGATAATGGGAAGTTTACCGCGACAGCGTTTCCTCTTTCCCGCTTCGTCCAAGGTTTCCCAATATCCTTCTTTTTCGCTCTCTTCTGATGCTGCTTCTCGTCTGTTCTTCCTAACGTACAATATCTCGTTGATACATTTTCATATACCGTGTGCTGCAAATGTACGCAGGATTTACATTATTTTCCTTCATTTGCGCTGCAATAAGAATGACAATTTTCTGTCTTCGATGAACTGTTTTATTCGAATTATTCGTATTAGGGTGAAACGAGACTTAACTTTTCTGTAATTAATCTACTTTAACAGTTTTCATATTTTAGAGACGGAGTGTGTAACGTAAGCGATGAAATGTTAGTGCCTATTGGAGTAACATAATTCAGTACAGAAAGTAAGATCAGACTTAACTATATTTCAACTCATTTCTACCGTTAGATTCCTCCCAACAGGAAAATTTACCATTCTCGTTGATCGTTAAAATCAGATAAAATGGTCGGCGAATAAAATTCGTCAAATTTTGAAAACCTACCGAATTTCGTCGGAATGAAATCTGAAAATTCGCTAATAGTAAACTCTTTAACACCTAAACTTGAAATATTTAGCCACGTCGAAACTGACGCTCTGGAGCTTAGGCTTCTTGCCCAACGATCGTGAAATTCCCTTGCAAGCTAACTGTAGAAAACGATACCTGTGAGTCCATTGCTCCAGTAAGATTCTATTGCACCGACTTCTCGTTCAAAATACGAACGCTCCCGGCAGAAGAGAGGGAAGAAAACCACCCGTTGTCAAGAGTGGACACAGACGGCCATAAACCACCATTCGTTCTCATACTTTCTCATTCTTATTCCCACAAGCACATTCGCAAAGAAATTACAAAAAGCAACAAATTATCCCACTAATTGCATAACATCGTTAACAAAATCTCCTACTTACTGTCGTTTCATCGATCATTTTTGCTTCTCTAACTTGTTCTTAATGTTTTTTCTACTCCTTACCAAGGTATTTTCAGTGTTTGTGTCTCTTTTTTTTCATTTTTTCGTTTGATTAATCGTTGTGCTACGACATTTTACAGAACCTCCACATTCATTCTTTGAGCGGGTTACATCGGTACGTTGTCGTTGTACTCAGTGTCAGTATTTTTGGCTATGCTCGGTGTTGCGCTATTAAATAACATTAATCGTTCTTTTTACATGGACTATAAATAGGACTAGTGAGAAAGTTTTGATGTTAGTCCGTCCATTTTGGTGGTGGAGCGTAGAAAGTAACGCCTTAACTGTCTCTTCTCTTCGTTACGTTTTGTATGTTCGACGCACCGGTGAAAAGTGGACCCGGTATTGTCCGAGTAAAAGTTCGAGAGTCGAAATCAATTGCACGGTATGACAACGTGGTTAAATTTATCGCTCGTTTCTTTTCGTAATTCTGACGTCCACCGCAGTTCCTCCTGCGTTCTACCCTTCGCGGGAACCCGGAAACCCGACGACACCAGCTTTAATTTAGGTTTCACGTGGCAACTACGATCGAGAGTTATTGTGAAGAAAAAGTCGACGACATACTTCTCATTTTTTCTTTTCTTTTTGTGCAAATTGCAAGACGTGCTTTGTTATTGTAGTCCAGTGTAATGTCTGTATTGATAGAAATTTTAAGTGTAAGTATTGAAATAAACAGCTAGAATTGAATGAAATATCTTTTCTTCGGAAATCTTCGTACCGAACTTTCTTCATTTTTCGAAAGAAAATGTTAGCGTGACGAAACATTTGAAATGTATTTTGTCGTCGATTATACATATCGCGGAAAGTAAACTTGCATTCGATTGGCGAAAACTCGGTTAATCAAGAGCCGCTTTGAGGGCAGCATGAGAATTAAGTACAAGTTACGAACATTCGCGAAACCAAAAACGGACAATTATGTTCTGTGCGGTAATTCGACGGGGCGACGCTTATTTACAAGGGCGAAGAAGCGAGAGAGAGAGAGAGAGAGAGGTGCATTTCGTCGAGGAACGAACGAGACGTGATAAATAGCATCCTAAAAGTTGAGTGGCAGTCATCTCATTACTTAAATGCGTCTGTTAGTCGAGAGAAGCGCTGGCCAAGAGAGCAGAAGTTTCCACGTTCATAATCGCCGCTAATTGACGTTGGAGTTATAAAGTTCAGTAAAATTAGCTAAATCCTTATTTGGTCTCTCGTTATTCCGACCCCTCTCTTTCTCTCTTTGCTTCTTCCATTGGACTTTCCTTCACGGATGTATGTATTAAGCGTTAGTGTTCGTATTTCTCGCGGTACACACACACACACACACACACAGAGAAAAGTAAGAAAGGAATTCTTCATTGTCCGATGAAAGTTAGGAAAATTCAATTAGAGAAGAAATTGTGTATCACGTGAAACTTGAACGAAATTCGACGAAGAACTTTGGGAGAAATTAACGGATGAATTAATATAAAAATGAAAAAAAAAAAAGAAAGAAACACAGCGATCATTTGCAAAGGCATGAATAAAGCATTGACGAAAATGCGGCAGCAATTAAAACATTCGTTTGCATAAATGCACCAAGTTGATCGTTTCTTCTACTTTCGAGGAGATTGTATATTTCTTAAGAAGATAAATAGTGTGTAAATAAAAATTTCTCGTGAAGAGATCTAAAGAAACTTGAATATATATATGTATAACATTTAATGCACGCTCATTCATTCTCGTAACGATATTTAATATTCGATTAAAATGCTCTCGAAGAGGAACAACATATTATCAGCGAGTTTCCACGCAACATACCATTAAATTTTCTTAACTCATTATTATATAGTAAATATTAACATATGTAGTAATACGACGACGGATTAACATGTTTGACAATCTCATGTAAAGTGTCGCACCATCATAATCAGTATCATCACTACAATCACTATACTCCTTTATATCCATTTGTATTCATTTAAACTACCCTTCACCTCGCTCGTCATTGTGTTGTGCGTCCCAGTGTTGTGTGTTTGTATATTTGAAAGTATAAATACTCAACGTTACTTAAACTGCGGGAAATCACATTATCGTGACGAATATCATATCGTGACATTCTAATCATTACTCTCTTCGTCG